AGAAAGATTCTCTGATGAAAGACCGAGACGGGATGGCGGTTGAGTCAAGGTGAGTGGGTTGTGCGATTACACGGGTGGTGAGGTACGAGTCCGACAATGAAGACGGTCCGCCATGGTGGCGATGAGGGAGTAGGACCGCGTGCTCTCAGAAGCGGATTATGGCGGCGGCTGATGCACAAAAACCGGGAGCTCGAGGAAGATGTGGATGCGATTTCGCAGGAGAAAGACTCTCTGATGAAAGATAGAGATGGCATGGCCGTTGAATCCAGGTGACTGAGTTGGCTGCAACCCGTTGCGTGAATCGGTTGAAGTCCCCAACATAAACATTTCGTGCTTATTCGCGTTCTTTTTCATATTTTTTTACCATCAAAAAATTAAAATTCGTGCGTTTCCTTCTATCTGTTTCCAGTTCGTTGTGCGAGCGGCTGGAGGAGGCAGAGGCGGCGAGCGAGATGCGGAAGCGGGAGAACGAGGAATAAGTGTTAGCCGAGTATCTTACGTTCAGTTTTCAAGTATTTGTGCTGTTTTCTCCGCGGTTTCTGCAGCTCGTTGTGCGAGCGGCTGGAGGAGGCGGAGGCGGCGAGCGAGATGCTGAAGCGGGAGAACGAGAACCTGGAGGCGGAGCTGGTTGCGGCGCGCAAGTCACGAGACACGTACTGGAACCACAGCATCGCGCTGTACCAGGAAAAGACGAGGTAAGAGCAGGGTACTGATGCATTTGAAGCCTGAGGTCCCTTCCAGCACGTACTGGAATCACAGCATCGCGATCTATACCACGACTGTATCCCACCCGCCTCGCACCCACCCGCCTCGCACCCACCCGCCTCACACCCACCCGCCTCTCACCCACCCGCCTCGCACCCACCCGCCTCTCACCCACCCGCCTCTCACCCACCCGCCTCGCACCCACTCGCCTCTCACCCACCCGACTCTCACCACCCGCCTTGCACCCACCCGCCTCGCACCCACCCGCCTCGCACCCACCCACCTCGCACCCACCCGCCTCGCACCCAACCGCCTCGCACCCAACCGCCTCGCACCCACCCGCCTCGCACCCACCCGCCTAGCACCCACCCGCCTCGCACCCACCCGCCTCGCACCCACCCGCCTCTCACCCACCCGCCTCTCACCCACCCGCCTCTCACCCACCCGCCTCTCACCCACCCGCCTCTCACCCACCCGCCTCTCACCCACCCGCCTCTCACCCACCCGCCTTTCACCCACCCGCCTCTCACCCACGCGCCTCTCACCCACCCGCGTCTCACCCACCCGCGTCTCACCCACCCGCCTCTCACCCACCCGCCTCTCACCCACCCGCCTCTCACCCACCCGCCTCTCACCCACCCGCCTCTCACCCACCCGCGTCTCACCCACCCGCCTCTCACCCACCCGCCTCGCACCCACCCGCCTCTCATCACCCACTTCTCACCCACCGGCCACGCACCCATCCGCCTTGCAACCATCAATGTATCCCATGCCAGGCTGGAGGGGCAGCTTGAGATGGTGAATAATATCACCAACACCATGTCCGGATCATTTCACTCAGCATCCTCTCCCTATGCTCATCCATTCGCTTCCGTTTCCCCAACCATCCCATGCCAGGCTGGAGGAGCAGCTCGCGATGATGAATAAGATCACAAGCACCATGACTGGATCCACAGCTAGGCAAAGGGCAGCAGCGCGTCACTCCTTAGCGGGTACAGCAGGCACCCCAACTAAGCAGGGTCCGAATCGGGGGACCACACCCACGCGCACTCAAAACCAACATCAGCAGAACCACCAGCAGCAGAACCAGCAGCAGCAGCAGTTTCAAAACTACTCCAACCCTCTCCAGGCTCACATATCCTCGAACCCCCCATTGCCTCAGTTTTCATCCTCGAAACTAACAGATCCGCTTGAGCTACCATTAGACTACTCCTTCCATGACATGCAGCCTACAATGAACCAGCAGTTTCCAGGGCCCCCAGGCGCCCCTTGCTTGTCGCCCACCCGAGCCGACAATCCATCTGTGAGGAGCTTAGGCGGGCGAGAAAGCATGTCTGGAGGTAGAATTGTCGGATCAGGGGCAGGGGCAGGGGCTGGGGCAGGGAGTGCGGCTGCAGCGACAGCATTGAGGAGGCAATCAGAGATTCCGAGTGGGTTGATTCACTCTTCAGGCAGGCAGCTTCAGCAGCAGCAGCAACAGTCACAGCAGCCGCAGCAGAACCAGCAACAGAAGCAGCAGGCAACACATCCGCCCAGCCTCATCCCCTCTCCTGCTTCTTCAGCCCGGCTCAACTCCGAACGATCCTCCATATGCAGCTCCCCACGAAGCCCTGTCAAAGCAGGCTCGGGGGGAGGCGGAGGAGGGGGCAGAGCAGGAAGCGGAGGAGGCGGAGGCGGAGGCGGGGGAGGGGAGGGAGAGGGGGAGGGGGAGGGGGAGGAGGGGAGGGGGAGGAGGGGGAGGGGGTAGAGAAGGTGGGCTGGATGGGAGCAGTGAGTTCATGGATGAGAATTATAAGTCCGGGGTGTCCTGGGGAAGTGGGGGGAACGATGTGGGGGAGTCAGGAGAGGAGGAGTCTGTGGGGAGTACCACCATGATTCCACAGTTCACTGGCAGCAGCAGGCTGCCTGTGCCTAATGCAGTGAACATGAGCCGTGCTGGTAGTGGAGGGAAGGTTTGGCGGTAGCAAGGAGAAGTACGATGCTGTGTATCGCCGTGGGAGGTAGCGGAATGATGTGGGGGAGTCAGGAGGGGGAGGAGTCTGAGGAGTACCACCATGATTCCACGCTTCGCTGGCAGCAGCAGGCTGCCTGTCCCGGCTGCAGGGAACATGAGTCGTGCTGGCAGTGGAGGGAAGGTTTGGCGGTAGCAAGGAAAAGTGAAATGTTGTGTAATCACCGTTGGAGCTGCGGATCGATGTGGGGAAAGTCAGGAGAGGAGGAGTCTGGCAGCAGCATGCTGCCTGTCCCTGCGGCAGTGAACGGTGCCCGTGCTGGCAGTGCAGGCAAGGTTTGGCGGTAGCAAGCCTTTGAGAAAAAGAAAAGGCACCGTATCAGCTTTGGAGGCAGGGGGGGGAGTCAGGAGGGGAGGATTCAGGAGGGGAGAACCAAAGGAATGGGTTCCAGGGTGCACTGGCAGCAGTAGGCTGCCGGCCTTGCCTGTCCCTGATGCTGTGAACGGTGTCGTTCTGGCAGTGGAGGCAAGGTTTGGCGATAGCAAGGTACTCCAGGTTTGGCGATGATATTGTGGAGATCGTATGCGCTTTCTGCATAGCTTGCAATGAGCCCCTACTTTCACCGTCTTCTACAATTACGACGACCAGTATGGGGCAGGTCGGTGCATATGAAAGGAGTGCGCAGGTATCATGGTACTGACCTCGTGCATCGGGAATCTTGTGAATGGTCTCCTCTCTCAGAATAACGCAATGACTAGAAAGGAGAGTACAGGGTGATTTTGTGCTAGTGTGTTATACCCTCTAAGAAACATGCGCCTATCTAGCCTATAATAACATAAACAAATACGTTTGACACACCCCCTAGGCTAGACAAGGAGTAGCGCCTGGCAAGAGACACGCAGCCTAGGGTGGCACTACTAGTCCAACCCAGGCCCATAGTAATGGTGCTTTTATGCTGATTTTTTTTTGTTTTTGGGTTGCGGAGCAACCTATTGCAATCGATCGGGCAGGTTTATTTTTCAAGTTTTTTTAAGATAAAAAAATATCTAAATGGTTTAGGTGTAACACACAACTGTAAAATACGTGTACCTATTGCACTAAAAAAAAAAAAACAAAAAAAAAACAGTGATGGGAAAAAAGAAGGTGAATACCTTCGCTACCCATCATATGTTGTGGCATATTTTTGTCGATGACAAAAATAGGCAATCACTTCCCCAGCTCAGTGGGGGAAGCGAAAAGCCTAGTTCATCAAGACAAAATTAGGCCACAGCTTCCCCAGCTCTAGCGGGAGGGGGGGGGGGGGGGGGGGGGGAGCCTCAAGCCTAACGATTGAGAAAAATATAAACAAAAAGCAACACAATTTGAGAGTTCCAAAAAAAGGATTGCATTTACTACTTCCAGTTATAATGACTGCACTCAAGGAGAGAGTCAAGAACCTTGCTTGAAGTTGTTGGGCTGAGAAATGCCCTTAGGATCTTTCCAGAGACTAAGTCCCAGTTGTAAAAGGCTTTGAGTAGTGCAGCGGAAGTTTGAGGCAGTTGAACCCTTGTACTAGTATATGAGAACAAGTGATTAAGATCGAATTCTGAAGTTGGGCCGACGACGAAGTTTTCCCTTCGGCACCAAGTTTTCCCATGCGACTCGGGAAACTGTGGTGGATACCATCCTTGCTGCGAAACGCTCGCGATAAGGCTTGCGAAAACAAGCCGCGAAAATGCGACCTGCAAAACTTCGCGGCCAACTGAGAAGCGCGCACAACGGGCTGCGACCCATAGGCGACCTGAAAAATGTACCAGATGCGCGTCTGCAACCTGTCGGTCGAAATTTGCAACAACACTGGTACAAAAAAACCCGCCAAGAGCCCCAAAACATACCAAACGCGCGCAGCACCGTAAATCGTCGAGTGCCACTTCTCCTACCCAATTCGACAACCTCTCGTACAGACGAACAAGCAATACAAAAAGGCGTTTGACCTCTCGTTTGTTTGTGTGCTGTTACGGGCAGCTGATGCGGTAACCGTGCCACTGGGCCGTCTGTTTTGCAAACGTGGCTCACGTTCAGTCGAGGCGCATTCACCCACAGTACCAATTTTCGCCGAACGTGTTGATCGCGTTGGTCGTGCGCCCACTTCGCAGGGCACGTTGGCGAAACTTTTGGTTTCGGCAAAAGCCGAAGCGCACAGCCCAACATTGCATTCCCAATTTTAGACATTTCGAGCCGCATGGGAAAACTTTGCTCGTCGGCCCAACTTCAGAATACGATCTAATAAAAGAAACAAGCATACAGCAATATATAGAAAATAGTAAAGTAAAGCAGTTGTAGAATACAGTTACAGGAGCGGTTTATCGAGTCGCACAGCGACTCGATTGTCGCTTCGGTTACCATCCGCGCTGTTGTAACGGTCAGTCGCAACCTCCAGTTGCGACCTTCAAGTCCTTCGCATTCTTTGTCCGCCCCCTCGTGTAACCTCCGTTGACTCGCGTACCCGTTGTGATCTTCCTCGAGTGTAGTGTTACACTTCAGAAACGCTAAGTCCTTTGAGATATTTCCAACACTCCCCTTCGTTTCTGGAGTGCTGACGTGTTCAGATCCGGTGACGTTTGTCTGCCCGGTCAGCAGCATGCAGTAATCGAATTGCCTTCGCCAATTTCTTCGTCAGATAGTCTGCGGCCATTTCTGTCGTAGGGCAGTAACTGAGTTGAAGTCTCCCCTTCGCGATTTCATCCTTGACGAAGAAGTACCGCAGGGCGATGTGCTTGGTTCGGTTGGCGAAGCCGTCCTTGTTTGCGATTTTGATCGCAGATTGGTTGTCGCAGAGGAGTGAGAAGGCGGGCAGGGTCGCAATCTTCGCTTCCTCGAGTAACTCTCGTAGGTAGAGTCCTTCCTTGGTCGCAGTACAAGGGCGATATACTCTGCTTCAGCCGAGATAGTGCGATTAGTTCCTGCTTGCTCGACTGCCAGGAGATAGTCCGATAGGTTCTAGTCGGTAGATGTAGCCCGTCTCGATCGTCGATTTTCCTGTCTCCCGCGTGGTCGGCGTCGACGTATCCGAGTAGTCGTACGGACGGTTGTGCTTTGCTGTAGGTAAGTCCGATCGTCGGCGTGGAGACGAAGTAGAGTAGTGCCCGTTGAGTTCCTCGAGATCTTCTGTTCCGGCTGCTTCAGATGCGTCGCCAGTTGGCTCGCGCTATAGGAGGTCGGGTCGGCAGGTTACTGCTGCGAATAGTAGGCAGCCGAGCTTCTGTTGATACTCCTGGATTTGCTTCGCGGGGAGTTTTGCGGAGGTGCTGTTGTTGTTCCCGTAGCGGTAGGGAGTTGGGACCGTAGTCGGTGTTAGACCGAATTTCTTCGCGACGGTGCCTGCGTACTTTCCAGCGTGTAGGTAGAACGCCGAGTTGTCTTCGACGACATTCAGTCCAGGTACTGGGTCACTGCGTCGGACACCGTGAGTCAAGTCTTCTTTCAGCTCCCCTTCGAACCAGGTGGCGATGTCGGTAGTGGACCGATGTAGAGCAGGTCGTCGACGTAGACGATGAGTAGGATTACTCTTTCCCTTCTGCAGTCGGTACATGCCTTGGTCATGCGGCAGCTGTAGGAATCCGATTTTTGCGAGCGGCCGTGAAGATGCTGCTGCCAGAGCCGCGGGGCTTGCTTGATCCCGTATAGGGATTTTATCAGCTGGCATACTTTCGTGGGGTCGTCGATGAATCCGCGGGGTTGTTCGACGAAGATCTCAGCGTCCACAGGTGCGTACAAGAAAGCATTACGACGTCGATTTGGCGCAGTGGTAGTTTCTTCGTGGCCGCGACGGCGAGTAGGATGCGCAATGAGGTGTGACGGGAGACTGGGGCGAATGTTTCTGTGTAGTCGGTTCCGTATCGTTGATCAAACCCTCTACGACCCATCGAGCTTGAATCGTTCGGTGGAACTGTCGGCATTGGTCTTGATGCGGTACACCATTTTCCCGAGAGGAGTTTTCCCGTTGATGCTTGTTGCAGGTACCAGCTTCCATGTATTTCGGTCTTGCAGAGCCTTTAACTCCTTTTCCATCGCCTCTTCCATTTCGCCTTATGTTCCCCCCCAAGCCTGCGACAGAGTCGGGGGCTCGCGCGGAGATGGCGGCGGCGGATGCTGGACGGAGACCCATAGGCCGAGTATCTGCAGTCCCGTGGGTGTGTGTCGAGGGGAATTTTCATTCCCGGAATAGGCTGCTTCGTCACCGTCTTCTGGATCAGGTAAGAAGTTGGGCCGATGCGTTCTGAAATTTGTGTCGACCGGGTGGGGTGTAATGTAACCTTGGTCAGCGAAGTGGTAAAAGGTGTCGAGGTTGTTACTATCGAGGGGATTGTCTTCGTCGAGTGGACAGGTACGGAACAGAAAGGGAGTGGTCCGGCAGCTTCCGAGGCTCCAGGTACGTCTTCTTCTGCTGCGTCAGCCTCGGCAGCACGGTCGGCGAAGGAACGAAGACCCGCGAAGCCGTCGGTGGGGTCGTGTGTGTTGGCAATGTTGTCCAGGTAATGCTGCAGCGTCAGTCGCTCGTAGAAGATAACGTCACGTGATGCCACTGTATTTTTGTCTTGTATGTCGAGGATTTTCCATGCGTGAAAATGTTTTGCGATGCCGAGGTGTAGTCCCCACCGAGCTCGTTGAGTGAAGCGTCCTGCTCGGGCTGTGTGGGGTCTGTACTGTACCATGCAGCCGAAAACGCGAAGTAATTTTGTGCTGCCCCTTTTTGTGTCCACAGCTGGTGCGGTGATGCGTTGTTGGGAAGCGATGACGAGGACAACAGGTTGTGCAGGTGGACTGCATGTGTCATCGCGTCTGGCCACAGTATGGTGGGCAGTCTCATCCCCAGGAGCAGCTTTCGCATCGTCGTCTGCAAGGTCCGGTTCATGCGTTCTGCGACCCCCTGCTGCTGGTGAGTGTAGGGCAGAGACACTAGGCGTCTGATTCCTCTTTCCGCCAGATAGGTCCTGAAGCGTTGTGACTGGTATTCCAGTGCACCGTCTGACTGGAAGCTCTTGAGTTTGGTTCCGGATTCTCGTTCGGCGATGGGTAGCCATGTCGTGAAGGCGTCGAAGGCTTGGTCGCGCGTCTTGAGGTTGTAGTGCCAGACGTATCTTGTTGCTGCGTCGATAAACGTGATGACATAGTTGAAGTCTGCTTCAGCGTCTTCTCGAGGCATGTTTAAAATGTCACTGTAGACTCTTTCCATCGGTGCGTATGCAGGTGCGCTTGGGTTGTGATGAGATGCGAAAGGCTGGTGGGGAAGATCGGCTTCGGGGCACGTAAAGCACCGTGCGCGTGGTCGTCGAAGTTCTTGACCGCTCGTTGTTAGGAGAGCGTTGCGTTCTAACACTTTGGCTTGGATGGTTTGTAGTATTGTACTATTTGCAGGGTGCCCGAGTCGTTGGTGCCAGATGTCGTCGGGAGCGCGATGGCCGGGCGAGCGGTGGTATATGTTGGTGTTGGAGAAGAACGCGGCGACTGTGGCGGGACTTCGACAGACTTCTCGTGTGATGGGCATAAGTTGATCTGCTTCGGTTGGCGGTCCTCTGATCGCTGGTGGTGGTACTCGGGTGGGTCCTGCTGCTGCTACTGCAGGTGATGGTTGGGAAGGGACACTTGCTGGTACTTGTCTTTCTTGTCTGATGACTGCTAATGCTCATGTTCTCTCTGCTGCAGGTATGGTGTTGGAGTGCCAGAATCCATCAGGGTCGAAGTCGAGGTCAAGATCCGGCGGGTGTGTCCAGGCGGCGAACGACACGATTCCGTCGCTATCGGCAGTACCTCGGTCGGGGACGAAGTCCAACACGAAGACGCCGGACTTCAGGAGAGCGCGACCGATG